ACAGATCATCCCATCTGCATAATATTGACCACGACAAAGAAAACTAACAAAAACATTAATGATGAATGGCAAATTAGTGTTTTGTTTCTGTATTAGAACTGTTCAAGGGAACTTACAATCCAGAAAGAGGTAGTGATGTAAGCTGTATTTTTAATGTTTCTTATATTTTAGCTATAGGATGCATGATGTTAAGCTTAAGCAAGTTTATAACTGTAATCTTATAATACCTTGGAAGTTAACCATTACGTTAAGAACCTAGCAGCTTTGGCTAATATCTAGACAAAACAGCATTGTTTATGAATAATAGTAATTTGTGAATGATGATTTCTTGAAATACTTATTGAGAGGTGATCGAGAATTCAATAATATATCCAGTTTCTGAATATTCAACTGAAGTTATCTAGTAAGAGTTAGTGCTTCTGTCAACTAACCAGTAAGTTAGTCGGCATTTCTTATCAATCAAGGGAATTTCAGTTAAACTTTATTAATATTAGGCCAACAGTTGTTTCTTAATTAATGTTTGTTTGTGAACTTAGGCCTACAACTCGCATCAAAGTAAACGTAGCCTGTAGCAAACTTTATTACTATTATTCAAGACAAGATGTAAGGTCCAAACTAATTTGTAAGTTTAGTTGATGAGACATTAACTTCTGGCTCTAAGGTACAACTTGAAGAAGGCAATAAGATTTATTCTGCATGATTTGAAAACATAAAAATCACAAAAAATAGTAATATTTTTTAATAAAGATGAAATTTTGGTACTTGTATAGAGTACTTTGATGAAGAAAAATAAGACTTAGCAAAACCGAAATCTTTAAATATCTTTAAAATATAAACACCTATTATCAGATATTACAACTTATCTCCATATATTTCGGACGATTGATACCAACTAGTGACTCACAATATCATCTTGTTTTTATTATTGACCCTTCATCTTCAGCAACTGTATACTGAGGTCTCTCTGCCATTTTGAGACCTCACTGTTACACAGTTTTTGACGGCTATCTTCAGTGGTTCAAATTACATGATTTGACAATACAAGTGCTATAAGAATCAAGAACAAAGCTTTTACCAGAAATTTGAAGAACTCCCAAGACTGTACGTTTTCTTTCTCACTTAAATGACGAGTCTTAAGGGCTCCAAATACACGTTCATTGTACGTCATGATCGTCCTTCTGGCTTCTCCCCATGAATGAGGACCGCTAACTCGAAACTGATAAGGAAGACAAGGACCAAAAAAGCATTGCCTAAAGAAATTAGGATCAGTTAGCAACAGATAAAAAAGGTTAAGCTTAGCATTGATAAGAGAGGCTATTTCATCCATGTACGAAATCCAGTCCAGCTGAATTGTGTATCGTGGATTTTCCAAATATCTCTTGACCTGATCATCATGTTTCTTTTTGATGTCGTCCATCATCTCTTCTACAGGAGGGAGTTTCACTTTTTTTGCCATCAACAGGGCGAACCAACGAGCTTGGATCTCGCCAATTGGAAGCAGGGAACCAACTGGTTGCGCTAATGCGATGAAGGCTAGAGATTGGTGTTTCAGCTTCGGAGGGAACACGTACTTGTACAACTCTACCTTGTTGTCTTTAACAGAAAATATTTTGTCGTCTATAAAAGGAAAGTCGATTTTATAGCCCGTGGCTAGAATAACAACATCTACCCCAAGTTCTTCATCCTCTCCTTCAAAGATTACTCCGTTCTCGGTGAATTCTTTAATATTTCCTTTCAGTTCTACAGTTCCACTCAGTATCCGGTTGGGTAAAGCATCGTTTACCATAGGGTGCTGTCCGAAAATGCGGTGTTTCGGTTTGATGCAATAAGTCTCGTGATTGAATCGCGTATTGACGTATTTCTCTGAAATATAGCATAATAGGCTATAAGGAGCATTATTCCAGAGTGTGTTCCAAGATCGTTTCAGGAACGTGGCATCAAAGGGCAAGCCGTGAGGTCCAACCCTAGGAATTATCCAGCAACCACTTCTGGTGCTTAAGTACACCTGTAAATACAAATATAATGTAACTAAAGTTAAGGGTTTAGCTTATACACCTGCAAAAATAAATATAATGTGATTAAAGTTAGAAGGTTTGGCTAATACACCTGTAAAGACAAATATAATGTGATTAAAGTTAGGAGGTTTGGCTAATACACCTGCAAAAATAAATATAATGTGACTAAAGTTAGGAGGTTTGGCTAATACACCTGTAAAGACAAATATAATGTGATTAAAGTTAGGAGGTTTGGCTAATACACCTGTAAAGAGAAATATAATGTGACTAAAGTTAGGAGGTTTGGCTAATACAGCTGTAAAGACAAATATAATGTGACTAAAGTTAGAAGGTTTGGCTAATACACCTGTAAAGACAAATATAATGTGACTAAAGTTAGAAGGTTTGGCTAATACACCTGTAAAGACAAATATAATGTGACTAAAGTTAGGAGGTTTGGCTAATATACCTGTAAAGACAAATATAATGTGCTTAAAGTTAGGAGGTTTGGCTAATACACCTGTAAAGACAAACATAATGTGACTAAAGTTAGGAGGTTTGGCTAATACACCTGTAAAGACAAATATAATGTGACTAAAGTTAGGAGGTTTGGCTAATACACCTGTAAAGACAAATATAA